TCGGCACCGACCACTCCAGGAGGATGCCCAAAATTTCTCCAGCCCCCCAGACACCCCCAACACCTCATGATGCAAAAAGAGCATGTTGTCTGGAGCTGCTTGTGGAGGTGGAAAATCAAGGTGATGGACCAAGACCCACCACTTCTCATGCCACGTTGCTTCTGAGGGTGTTACCTGTGCACACCACGCCAGCTTCTTTCCCATGCTGACAAGTGCTGTTGCCCCAGGGCTTCACCTTGCATGCAGAGAGGGCATTCTCTGTGCCCACGCAGCTCACGCTGTTGGGCCACGTTTGCCCGGATCCTTGCCCAAAATGCGACCCGCCAGGTGCTGACAGCGCTCTTCCTGCCTGCACACCACTCGAGCTTCAGCCAGACCCCAACCCTGGTCACACAGGGCTGCCCAGGTGCCGTTGTGGGTGACCTCCACCCTGCCTTCGCAGCGCGTCGAGCCATTGGCCAGGTGGAGCTCAGTGGCCACGGACACTCCTGAAGCTGCCGACAACATGCAAGAGTAAGTGCACTGGGAGAACCATAGCTGCTTCTGCTCCAGCCTGAGCATCCTCCATGCACGGTGAGTGCCCAAACTGCAGACCGAGTGCCCACAATGCTCAGCACCCTCTTAAAAGTGAATTTTGTGGGGTGGCTTTGCAAAGGAGCTTTATTACAAAGGCACTTCATTGCAAAGTCACCTTATCATAGAATCACAGAATAGTTTGGGTTGGAAGGGACCGTTAATGGTCATCCAGTCCAACCCCCCTGCAGTGACCAGGGACATCCCCAACCAGAGCAGGTTGCTCAGAGCCCCGTCCAGCCTGACCTGGGATGTTTCCAGGGATGGGGCGTCCACCACCTCTCTGGGCAACCTCGGCCAGGGTTTCACCATCCTCATTGTGAAAATTGTCTTCCTTATATCTGGCCTAAATCTACCCTCTCTTAGGTTAAAACCGTTACTCCTTGTCCTGTCGCAACAGGCCCTGCTAAAAGTCTGTCCCCATCTTTCTCCTCAGCCCCTCTCAGCCCTGGCAGCTGCAGGAAGGTCTCCCCGGAGCCTTCTCTGCTCCAGGCTGAGGCCCCCCAGCTGTCCCAGCCTGTCCTCCCAGCAGAGCTGTTCCAGCCCTCGGAGCATTGCTGGGGCCTCCTCTGGCCCCGCTCCAACAGGTCCATGTCTCTCAGCACTGCAGGGGGGGTCTCCCCAGAGCGGGGCAAAGGGGCAGAATCCCCCCTCCCTCGCCCTGCTGGCCACGTGGCTTTGGGGGCAGCCCAGGACACGGTTGGTCTGGGCTGCGAGTGCACGTTGCCGGCTCATGTCCAGCTTTTCATCCACCATGGGCAGGGCTGCTCTCCATCCCTTCATCCCCCGATGATACCGGGGGTTGCCCCAACCCAGCTGCAGGACCTTATTGCAAAGGCACTTTATTACAAAGGTGCTTTCCTTTTCCCTGCTGTGCAGCCCAAATAAAAGAGCTGAGCTACACAAGCATCAAAAACTCCATCAAAAGTCCTGCATCGTGGGCAATGGGTGAGACAGACCCGGCCTGGCTGGCTGGGTAGGAACTGGGGATGGTGAGTTACACTTGCAGAAAGCTGTGCATGGTGCAGCCTAGTTTCCCCCAAGGCAAACCAGGCTTTGGGGCATGTCCTGAGTAATTCATGCATGCTGCTGCAAACAGATGGCCCTTTGCTGTTCCTGCAGCTTAGCACTGGACCTATGGCAGCAGGAGGTTGGCAAAGGCTTTGCAGGGCAACTTGCCCTCCTGTGTGCTGCAGGTGCTGCCCAGAGCTGCAAAGGGGATGCCGTGGGAGAGCACCCTTGGGGCAGATGCAGGAGCCATCCCATGATCCCTTAAGAAACCCTGGAAGTCTGACATTGATCCCTCTTGCACCTTGAGATGAGTTACCTGAACATATCACTCCAGCATCCTCTCCGTGGAAGCAGTTGTTGTCACCCCATGCTCTGGCCCGGCAGTTGAAAATGGTGGCCTCAGTGCCGGTGCAGTTCACCTCGTCCAGCCAGATGGGATCGTGGCCCCTCCCGAAGTGAGCCCCGCTGGTGGCCAAGAGTGCCGTGCCGCAGCCCAGCTGACGGCACACCACCGCTGCGTCTGCCAGGTCCCAGCCGTCATCACAGACCGTCCCCCACATGTGGTTGTGGAGCACCTCCACCCTCCCGGCGCAGCGGTTGGGGCCGTTGAGCAGCTGGAGGGTGCCCAGGGCAGTGATGCTGGAGTCTGTGGGTACCCCAAGGGGAACAGTTGGACAATGGTTTTTGCATCACTGCTGGTACAGCAGGAAGGGATGCAGGGGTGGAGGTGGTGCACAGCCGGATGGCTGCTGTCCTGGACTACCTGAGCACTCAACGCTGGCATCCTCCACGTGGTTACAGTTGTGTTCCCCCCATGACCTGGCTCGGCATTCGGAGAGGTTCATTTCCTCCCCGGTGCAGTTGACCTCGTCCAACCAGATCTGTCCCGTCCCTGCTCCGTACCGAGCTTCTGGTGCCACTGACAGCACTGTGCCACAGCCCAGCTGCCGGCACACGACTCGGCCCTCAGGGGAACCCCAGCCATCGTCACACACTGTCCCCCACGTCCCGTTGTGGAGCACCTCTACCCGCCCAGCGCAGCGGCCGGGGCCACCCACCAGGCGAAGGAACCCCCCTGGGCTCTCAGCGGCTGTGCCTGCAAAGCCAGGAGGGGAAAGAGGAGGGGAGGTGAAATCCTGGGGGTGGATGGGGCTCAGCTGCTCATGTGTTTGACATGGCTCCTGCCCCCCAAAAAGGTTTCAATGGTGGTGGTGACCATCCCACACCTGCCCTGGGCATTTCAAATGGCCCGGGGCATCTGTAGTCAACTGAGCCTCATCTCTGCATCCAAACCCTGAATTTAACCATTGTAGCACCAGTATGGATCCCACATCCCAGGAGCCCTTTTCTTGGTCATGTAACAGGCAGAAAAAATGGGTATTTGAGTTTATGTGTGTTTTTGTACAAGCAGCCAGCAGCAAAGATGTAGCTTCACCATCAAGAGTGCTTAATGCCTTGGAGTCCAGCTGTGTGGCAAGCTTGTGGGGACAAGCGGAAAAGTGCTTGAGCTCAGACCCATGGCATGAGATTGCTGCTGGTCCCATAGACATGCTTTTGCAAGAGCACTAACTGAAGGGAGACGGTGCAGGAAGGAGCTGTAACTGGGTGTTGGTCACATGGAGAGTTCAAATGGGCCCATAGAAAAAAAAGTTCAACGGGGATATGATTGCGTTGTGCAAATAAGGTTTTTGACCGTGGATAATGATTTCCAAAAGTGCTCAGGCACTGCTCTGTGCACGGGTCTGACCATCGGCAAGCGAGGGGTCAGACGTAGCACTTGGGAAGTCACAGGGGCCAGAAAGAGGATGAAACAGGTTAAAAATCAAATCCCTAAGAAGTCATTCAAATATGAACAGCATCTGGGCAGCTGCAGCATGCTGTGTGCCTAGCTCAGCTTTTTCATTCAGGCTGTGCAGCGGGGATCAGGAAAGTGTTTTTGCAATAAAGCACCTTTGCAATAAAGCCCCTTTGCAAAACCATCCCTCAAAATTCACTTCTGTGAGGAGGCTGAACCAGATGCATTGAGGGCACTCAGTCTCCACTTTGCAAACTCCCCAGGTTAAGAGCACAGTCCTGATGATGGCTGGCTCTTCTGTTTAATGCTTCCTCCCTGCACCTTTTGCTCTCCTTCCTTATTTTTACTAGGAGCGATGAGGTTACCCTGTGATAAGCAATAAATCAATCCTGCAGCTGAGACTTAGCAGAGCTGATTGATTTCTTGGCATGTTTCTTGCAAGCACAGTCGCATGTGCGTTTACTGTGCTTGGGTGGTCAAGTCCCAGACCAGGTGTCTCCAGCCAGGCAGGAGATACTGACTGTTGAATTTCACCATACTGAAATTTCCAGGAGCAAGATTTAAAAAAAAAAAAAGTGGGAAGATTGTACTGTTTGTGAGTAGATCACCAAAGAAAGAGGAAACCCAAGCGAGTTAAAGCAAAATTTTAGTTCCACGAGGCAGTGGTACAAACTGGCCTTAGCAGCAATCTCTACCAACAGGGAAAGCACATTCCTAATTTTGTTCACTCCAATCCCAATCAGAAGATGAGTGTTTCTGCTTATGCCCTTTATAAATACGAAACAGCACTAAAAGGCTGCCTGAATCAAATAACCAGCTTCTACTCTGAGCTGGGCCAGCTTGGGCAAAGCTGTGAGCCCTTTCTTAACAATTTCCAAAGCAAAACTGCAGTTGAACCATCGGCATGATATTGCTCTTGCAGCAGAACTCTTCCCCATCCTTGCACCCATGTCTGAGAGGAAACCATAGCTATGAATAAGGGACCTGTAGGGTCTGTAGCTTCCTTATGGCTCTGCCTGAGCATAAGAAGGGACATGTCTCTTGCCAGCATCTTGCCCGTGTGCCCTGTTAGCTCCAAAACTATTCAGTTCCATACGCTGCACATCCACGAGCCACCCAGGCTTGTCCTGGCAACATGGATCCCTACTTGCTCCATTGTACAGGGAGCTGCCCCTGTTAATGCACAGTGCTGTTAGGTTTGGCCAAGCCCCTTCTGTGCTGCAATACCATGAATTTGCCATGTACGGTGCAGGATAAGCCAAGATTAAAGCAGGGCAGGAGGCTGTGGCCAGCTGTGAGACCGCTTCAGGATTGAGCATGCTTCCCTCCAGTCTTGTAATGCTCACAAGCCTTTAATTATGGGGCGCAAACCTTTGATTATAGGGCAAAACCATGTGTGCAGAAGTAGACCTGCAATGCATGGCTCTTGGAGTGCAGCAGAGATAGCTGAGCTCCTGACTTCATCTAAAAAAGCTTTCACCTGCCTCCAAAGCCATCACAAGTCATTCCCCGCTGCCCCAGACCCCCAAGTGAAACCCAGGATCCCTGACCAGCCTCTACTGTGCTTCACAAAGTGCTAACTGAGCAGGCTGGAGGAGCTAACATGGCCAATGGGCTCCCTGTGGTCAGCAGTGAAGGCAAATGCTACTCACCCCAAAGGCATGCCATCAGGAGGAGGGTCCCTGTGCTCTTGGCCCCACTGCAGGTGGGTTGGTTTCTGCCCCTGGGGTGGCTGGATGAGGGATGGAGACTGCCTGGCATCCACATGTTCACAGCCTGGCCACAGGCTGGAGGTTGGAGTGGACTGTCCTTGTGAGAGATGCCAGCTGAGCCTGTTGTCCCACTGGCCAACTGGGAGGGCCAGCTGGGATTTCTGCAGAGAGCCCTCCTCTTCCTCTGCCCTGCTGCCCACTGGGAGTTTCACCTTCTGTGCAGCTCTGCCAGGAGGTGACCCGCTGCCCCGTACAGCGGCCAGTCTTGTCATTAGCTTGCGAAACGATGAGATGTTCCAGGAAAACACGGAGCAAACAAAACCCTCCTGACGCTCAGGTCCTGTCTCATACGTGCCAGCCCCTGCGGGCACCTCAGCTGCCCTGACATCCTGGTACAAGATACCTACTTTTGACAAACTAAATCAAGACTTTATGCAGAGAACTGGGGAAATATAGCTATGTTAGCATCGTTAAAAAGAGTCTGGTTGCGTTTTGCGGTGTGAGGGACCATCTACTGCAAGAAAATAGGTTACTAAAGCTGGTAATGGCTTTATTGTGGAGGCTGGAGCCAGCACCTGCACTGTAGCTGTTTGCCATCAGGCGAGCCTGGACACTATGCGTGATGAGAAAGGGTCTCACACCCACTTTGTGATGTTTTGAATGGCTTGGTTGGATTTGGAAAACAAGGGGAACTGCCATTTTCCTATCTTACTGTGGCTGTACTTGCGAGACCCCTTCTGGATTAGCAGTTTGCTTCCCAATTGCTGTTATGCAGATGATGCTCCAGGCATGTCCCTTGCAAATTGCTGCCCCAAGCATGTCCCAAGATGCTGAGAGGGTGGAAGGTTTGTGGTCCTCCCATCCCTTTGTGGTGGCACGCTGAAGTTGTGCAAGGAAAGGGCCCGAAGCCAGAGCAGTATGCTGCTGCAAAGAATGGGTTTTGCAAAAGGGTCATTAAATTAACACCACTCATTGCTCCAAACAGGAGGGTTCAGGTGGAGGTGAGTGCTGTGCTGGTGGTGCATTGAAGATGGGACTTGCACTGGGCAAGGATGTGGCCCCCGCCAGAAACAGGGTGGATGGTTCCACCTGTGTCTGTACAAAAATAAGAAGCAAAACTGGAGCATGCAATGGGAAGAGGACAGCATGGCCAGGAAAGTCTCAGGCTGAGTTTAACCTGTTCAATCTGGCAAAGCCTGAGAAGGGTAGTAGAGTGGAGAGTAGACTGCTGCCTGTAGGAAGATCAAACAGGAGAAACCCAAACCCCAGAGGCATGCAGAGCTAGGGCTGACAACCAAAAGGAAAAAAAGTAGTATGCTAAACAAAGGTACAAGAGTCAGTGGGTGAAAATTAGGCTGGAAATGAGTCAAAACTCATCTCGTAAAAAGTCAAGCAGTTGGGAAAGGTGACTCTATTAATTTGTACCGAGGCTCAGTGAGCCCAAGGACTTTGTCCTCCTTCTTTGCAAACAAACAGGCCATCAGCAAAGAGATTCCTGACACTGACCAGCATGAAAGTGCTGGGAACTGTCATAGCCTGACGTGGCCAATGCACGGGGCACAAACAGCTGCTCTGGAAATGAGTCATGGTCCTATGTCCCTTCTGCTTCTTTTGAATTTGGGTGTTGTGTCCCCTTGGGAATTCTGAAATCCCTTCGTGAGAGACTGCAGTCCCTGCAGAGCATCTTTGCAGAGTAACCCATGGTCCAAGCTCGGATCTAGCAGGTGCTGGTCCTGCATGTTGAGACCTGAAGAGCATCAACTCATCCCAGCTTTATTACAAAGACCTTCTCCAAAGGGTGCACATACTTTATTGCACAAAACTGGGTCCAAGTTCCTGTTTTCCCCTATTCTGGGGACACTCTACCCAGAGCTGGAATGAGCCCTGGGCCTTTGATGTAAACTTTGGGACAGGCAAGGATGGAGGACGAGGTCTGCTGGGGCAGCCAGCAGGAAGATGAGAAGGCTCAGATGCCAGCAGCAGGATGAGAAACCCTGAAGTCCCAAGAGTGATGGATGTCCATGGAGGAGCAGAAGATGACCTTGTGGCCACACATTGACAGGAGACACCCACCCAGGGGGCTCTGTGTTTGGGGCTTAGGGCAAGTAGCAAGACACAAACTGGTCACAGATGCAAGCCACTGGCTGGGAAGGAAGGAGAGGTGGGAGGCCAGAACCTGAAGGGCATTGAAATACATGTGTGACTCTCTTATTACATGTGTCTTCTTGCTGCCTCTTGCACCAACTCTTCCCTTCCATGTCCTTCTGTGGAGATGAGCTTGGCTTGCAAGGCACACCTTCATCACAACCTGGTCAAGCTTGTGGTTCCTTCATTCCCTTCCCATGGCACTGGGACAGGCCCCTCCTGGCTTCACCAAAGTGGTGGATGGCTTGGGGCTCAGACCTGACTCCATGGGTTGCTCCATTAGGAATGTGACGCTTCTTTATTGGCGGCCAGGACGATATCTCACCCAATGTTAGCAATCTTGAGTCTCCTGTATCTGACCCAATCATCTGCAATCCCTCGGTAACCAAGGGACCTATTCCACTACTTCCACCTCACCAAGTGACTCCATATCCTTGAATCTGTATAATGCTGCATTCTTGTTCTTTTGGGTTTCAGGGTTTTTACTGGTATGCAAAAGTGGATTGAATAAAGACAATGGGTGAGGGACTTCTCACCCTGTTCTGCATGAGCTTTTAAGCGCACTCCTCATTTTGCGAAGGTGGTCATGTACAGTGAGTTCCTGGATCAGGAGGTAAGCCTCACTTCCATGGGAGGTTAGGGGAAAAGGTATGATCCCGTTGGGAATGCAGTGAGGGTGATGGCACTGGGTGCCACTGCAGATGGCTTTGCAGGGGGTTATAGGGATTATAGGGGGCTATAGATAGGGGTTATTCTGAGAAGAGCTTCCTTGGAGACTGAGGGACTTCATGGTGAAAAATGGAGGAACTGGGACCCACAGAGGCTCAGTGCGGTGAGCTGGGGGCTATGGGGCACACAGAGCAGAGGGCTGTGCTCTGCCAGAGGGGGTCCTCTCTGCTGACCATTGCAGTGACTGGTCTGCTCTTTGGGCTCCACAGAATGGGGTCTTCTGGGGTTCTGAGGGAGCCTTGCCTTTGACACCAGGAATGTGGCTGCCTAAGCATCTGATGATGTCCCAGTGTCTTCTGTCTTCTTTATAAGAGGCTTGTCTGCAAAATGAAGGAGAAGGGTGATGCATGGGGGATGCAGTCCCCAGCCCCAGTTTGGGGTGCACCCGTGCCAGCCAGGAGTGCAGCCAGCTCGACAAGCAGGCCAGGTGCACCGTGCTGTGGTCCTGCTCTTACCTGAGGAGCGTCCAGCCCATCTTCCACACCGCGTCCACAGGTACAGGACCAACAGGGTCCCACACAGCATTGCCCCCATGCTGAGCAGGCCTGCCAGCACCGAGCAGGACTCTATAAGGTCTGTGGGAAAACTGAAACTCAGAGGGGCTGGATGGCCTGCCCCTCTCTGCCCCTCTCACCCTTCCCTTCTACTGCATGTTTTTGGGGACTTGCCACATCCTCCCTCACTGCCCTCCTGGGGGCTGGGGCTGACTGTCATCAGCAGGAGTGACAGCTCACCCTCTGCTTCGGGAGGGTGGGTGCATGGACACCCCCACATTGGGCTAATGCAAACAGAGCATGTCCACTGGGGATACCCAGATCTCCATGCCTGCTGAGATGCCTTCACCCAGTTGGTCCCACTCCGCTGCCTCTACCCTGCCCCTGATGTCTTCTGGCAAAAAGGTTTATGGTGACACTTCTGCCTGCCTGGGGGGAGGCTAAGACTGGGGTGGAGACAGGAGCCTTTACCCCACCATCTGTCTGCACCGGCTTGGCCCTGATGTAGACAGAGCGGGTGACGGGGATCCCGGTGCTCACCTTTCTGCTCTGTGCACACCACGCTGGCTGCCGAGCCCTGCCTGCACGGACCCAGCCCCATCTCTCTCTGCTGGCACTCCAGTAGGA